CCTCTTTTCGTCTGCCAGCACTCATGTCCTGGTTCATAGAGAAGTTGCTACACCAATAGCGGTTGAGCCCGTCTTCCACTCAGCCCATGGCCCATCGATTGAACGGCTGTTTCCTTCTAGAAACCGCCGTGGAACTCGACATTGGTCCAATCCGCCCGTCCTCCCTTGACACACGATCACCTCGGCCACTTGTTGCTGATGAATCTTGCCTCTACTGGCCCTTGGATTTCTCCTACGTAAGGCTTTGAGATGCGGTTCTGGGGAAGCCGGAAAGCAAGGCATAGGAGAAGGGACTTCCGATCACATCATCGACACTGAACCTCAATCCCGACCCCCCAGAATAGAATTGGGTAGGTACTTGTCCTACCTGTCAGTGTACCTCGAAAGCACCCCCCAACCCTTGGTCTTTCTCTAGAAATATTGTATGGCGTTCCGATCTGAGAGAACACCGCCAATCCCGTGCCTATACAGCACTCTCATTGATCAGCCACCTTTGAAACAAAAGACGGGCACGGGACCTGGCTGACGCATCCGCACCCTCTTCCGCTGTGTTGCGTTGCCTGATCACATTATCGTCCTAAAAGTTCCGAGGACCTACGAGGGGAACCTGCGGACAGCTCTACCGAGCGTCATCCAAGCAGCCAGCCGTTCTTGTACACCATCTTGCTGCGTGAAGCACCACGAACTCGGGCAAGGATGATCAACCACTCTACCTTTTCCAGTCTTTTTGGGCGGCCATCTCCCGGAGCAGTACCGGCCCCACCCGGCTCCGAGAGATCGGATCCATGGGGCCGGGCGCTTATGCGGTCTACCGAGCGCTTGACCACCTTTCGGCTCGAGTAAGGCCATCGGCCCTGGTCTCCAAGCGCCACCCTTCGAGACAAGTTGGAGCGGGTGCTCAGCTCTCTCGGTGTACACCCACCCCCAGGTCGCCGGTGGTTTCTGCAGGGATAAGACGAATGAGCATCCCGAAGACGATAGACCCGGAATCGGCATTATCACCCCCGGAAGGATGTCGGGATTGTCTCTCTCCCCATTGCCCATCAAGCGCTCTCTAATTGTGCGGAAGAGTGCCCCCCGGGATCCGATGCCTTGGCTTGCAGTGTTCATCCTGTTTTTGTCCCTGCTGGGTCGGCCGGTGTAGAAGTGCCAACTCTGTTCTATCCTCAGCCTCCAAGAGGCTTGACCTAGCACCGGGCCATCACATTGACATCAAGGAACAGCATGGCACCCGCATGGCTAAGCCTAGCCTCGCTCGACGTTGGCAGGGAGCTCCCTCCACCATTGCCTGTTGGCTGCGTCAAGGTGGAGTGCGTAGCGCCGACCACCGCGCTTGTCTCAGCCCAGAGGGCCTTCACGTGGGCCCTTTAGTGGTCCGATCGCCCAGTTAGGCCTATCTTTTCTCTTCTTTCTTTTCGGAACGACGACATGTACTTGGGAATCCGTATTCGCTCAGCTGAGACGCGCTGCAGCTGTCAATGTGCGCCATCTAATTTTTCGGAAGAATTCGAAGACGACTGACAGGCGCCATGGCAAAAGGCAGATGAGCCCCACCGAGCAAAAAGGTGACATGCCTCGAGCGATGGCTAGCCACCGATCCAGCAGTCATCCGCGCGGCGCCGCATATGTGGACTCCGTCACGCCGGACTTCCTCACCGGTGATCCCTTTCGGCAACCTATCACGGGGGCTCCCCGGAGGCACACGAAACCTCCATGCTCGCTATCCACATAGGCACTTCCATCCACAAGATCTACCCCCTTTCTTTCGATTCTCTGTTTTCGGCGCCCCCAACCATACGATCACAGCCCTCGCTTACTTTTTGGCTTCCTCGTCACCTCCCGCGCATGGATCGGGGTCCTGGGAGCACTGCCCGCCTGAATCGGGCGCCTGCTGGCGATAACTCATTGTCAGAACGTCCCTGCTTTGCTCAGGCTGGCTTGCCCACGCTACAAGGCTAGAGGATATTGTCGAATCTGCGCCGGAGTGGTATCCGTGTCTCTCCTTCACGGGGGTGGCGCCCGCCTGTCTTTGAACAATGAATTAAGAAACGCCTCCCAGAGGTTTCGACGATCAAGACGATCGCCCATGATGGGATTGTCAACGTCACTAAAGAAAAGCCATGCGTATGCTGTATCTCCTTACCCTCGCCCTCTCCTCTCTTTCCTCCCGATGGACCTAGACCCGTCCATCGAATATCGGGGTGAGCAAGTGCCGCATCTCCCCATTCCCACCCCCCCTTCTCTTCCTCGCGCTGCGTCGTACAAAGGAGAGAAATGGGCTCCGTTTTGGTTTGTGCTACGCGGGGAAGGGGGAAAGGGTGAGACGGGGGTTGGATGCAGGCTGACTGCTGTCAACAGAGGCAAGTCATCGGGCTACCGTGCCCCCATCCCATGCATCACCAACCCCACCTGTCACCACCCCCACCTACCGAGGCCACGGAGCACAAATGTGGTGGTTACCTTGCTCGGCCTGTCTACCCGGGGCGGAGCTCTGCCGCGCGACTCCAGGTTCCGTTGCTGACTTCTCACTTGGGTACCTCAGGTGTGGGCAACACAAGAACGGGGAAAGAGGGGAAGGACAGCTGTTGGGACTCTGTCCTCTCCTCGATCCCACCTGGGACTACTCCCCCTCGGCAGCTGAGACACAACCCCTCTGCTGCTTTCAGCGGCAAGGAAGAAGGAAAGAAATATCGGGCTGAACTCCATGGCGACTTTCTTTTTGGCTGGTATCTTGGATCGTCTCGGGTTGATGTACTGTCGATGACGCGACTCTCGGAACTTGTTCAGCTGGACATGGACGTGAACTCTGTATCCGTTCAGGTGGACATGGCACCCAAGTCTGTCAGTGGCAAGGCTAGGGAACTGAAACGAAAACCAGACTGGACTACAAGAAACGGGACCAACGCCCACCGTTGATGGGATGGTTGGACCATGGCGGTGCTAGACCACTGCCATTCTTTGGCTTGAGGCATGAGCAAAGAGGGCGGTTAAAGAAGGTTGGTGGCACAGACAGCAATCCCCAGGCATGTACATCCCAGGCGGGCAAGCGGCGTCATCGTCGAGCTGACGTCGGAGTGGCGTGAGGTGCATTGGAAAGCAACTTTGTGATACACGGGGAAATGTGCATCTCTTCGACGGTGACCATGGCAATACCTCGGTGAGCAAGACAGAACCCCCCCCCCAAAGACAACCTGGAAAGGTCCCTTCATCGCCCTTCCTAGTCGAAAAGAGAGAAAGGATGGAAACTCTGAACAAGGGAACAACGCGATAGGTCAGTTACCCGAGACCACAAGAAACCTGCCCATCTGTGATGAGGGGATTGGCAGGAGGAATCGAGTTGGAGGGATCAAAGTGCACTTTTCCCCTCGACACTGCCCCGCGTGCTCTCGATCGCGCGCGAGGATGTGACTTGACTCAAATGCCGTTTTGTAGTGGTTGTCTTCACCGCTAGAATGACAGGCCGAAAGAAAAAAAAGAGCAGAAGCTCGGATTTTGCCAAAGTTGCTTGCTGGTGGAGGCCCGGCGATGTGGCCCTCCCAGTGGCCTCGGTCAAGGAGACGGACGTGGTGGGTGGCTTTGCAAAAGACAAAACAGCATATCGCTGTGCCGGTGAGGCGAGCTCACTTCAAAGTGGAGAAGAGCTCTGTGTCGATAAAACTCCCCGGGTTAAGATCTGGAAGCAACGTTGACTGACGGACTGACTAACCGGCGGCAATCAAGGTATCTTGGGAATCGATCTCTGCCGTTCTCCTCCCCACGCTCTCTCTCTCTCTTGCATATGCCCGCCTGCATAGCTCGCATCGAGGGAAATAAAACCCCCAGCAATGAGAGACACAGCTGAGATACACCTACCTACCATAGGTACCCAAGCATCTCAAATAGCAACTGCTGCCCAACGAACGCGCGGGGGACGGGACCTCACCAACCCCATTGCAAAGACAGACGGCAACCCGAAGCCCGACCTCTATCCGACCGGGCGTCCACCATTCTAGAAGAACCATCTTCACCACTGAATAAACCAACTGCACAAAGGGCAACACCAGCCTCCCCTCCCCCCCCCTCTCCCCAGACCCACAGCCCGCGACTCTGCAAGCCGTGATGACTGTGACTAGGCCGCTGTGACGACCCGATCCAGTCCGTCACACACCCGGTACCAAACCAAACGGATTGCTGCCCGACCGACTGCGCGCGCCCGTGACGGTGACGGTGACGGTGATGGTTGACAGACATTGACTTGACAGGGCTGAAGTCTGATGGTGGTGGTGGTCATCTCATCGCCTCACGCATGTAGATGCGACCTTCTGCATACCTCCCTACCTAGGTACCTGGGTATATCAGCACTGGAAGAGGCGACCGGATAGCACGGTGGAGGTCAAGAGGTGGCCACGGCTGTGGTGATTGACCGCTATTTTGGCCTTGCTGTCCCGTGGGCCTGAGGGTGAAGCTCCGGAGCAGCGGGTATCACCTGAGATGATGTGGTGATGGCATGGGAAACTTGAACTGGGCGGCTGATGAAGGGAGAAGTTGATGGGTTGTTGCCGCGACTCCCGTAGGCGCGTCTCGCGTCGAGTTCTCCCAGCCTGGTGCTTGCTTGTGTCCCTCGTCTGGAGCAGGAGAGGGCATTGGTTGATGCCAAAGGTCTCAACTCAGTGGCCCTTGTGTGCCCCCGTCGCTGTAGCAGCAGCGGAGCAAGGGGGGCGTTTTCCTTAGGAGAGAAGGAGTGGAAGCAACAGGGGCAACGGCCATGCCCAGATACAGCACCCCATCCCAATTGCCCAACCCCTTCACTCCAAACAAGCCCACCAGCCACCCCTTTCTCCAAGTCAACAAACCCTCCGTCACCAGAAGGGTGTCCACCAAAGTAGACTCGACTGACAGGGAGTTTCCCTCCATCATTCATCCACAACCCATCCGCTCCACCACTCCACCACAATGAGAAATCCTTCGTCCTTGAGTCTCTTTGCCCCATGTGTCGTCCATCCAGAACCACCGAAACAGAAGCGTCAGTGGTTTAGTGGTAGAGTCCATCGTTGCCATTTGGTGCGCAAGCATCAGGTGTCCAATATTCGGTGGGCCCCGCGTTCGATTCGCGGCTGACGCAATAATGTCCTCTGAAGATGTTCCCTTCTTTTTGCTGGTCAGCCTGCCTTTGCCTCTGTGTGAGGGTGGTGCGTTTTGTTCGGGTTGCTGGTGAGGGCTGGTTTTGCTTGATGCCGGACGTCGGTTCGGTGTTGAACGACGGGGTTGGAGAGGTGTGTGCGAGCCGAATGTGGAAATATGTATGGTATTCCTCGTGGAGGATGTCCTTGTGTGATCTGGCATTGCCGCAGAGATGAGAGAGACATTGACGGAAACTTTATTCCCGGCTGGTATTAACTTGGTCTCTTGGAATAATATCGCGCATATCATACATCATCGAGCCTCCAAATGCCCCAAACAAAAGAAAATATTGCGTTTCGTAACACCCGCTCGGTCAACGTGCCCCCTTGGCACACCCGGCCTCGCTATTTCCCCTCCTCGTCCTCCTCCTTCTGCTTCAGCACCACCTCAAACGCACCACCCTTGGCCTTTGTAATCTCATACTTGCCACCCCACACCAGATCTTTGGCCACCAGCTCCCTCGTGCGGCCGAGACTCTCAATGGCGTCGATGCGCTTAATCGTAGCCTCGAGGTGCTCGCGGAAGCCGGGCTCAGCCACGATCTCCTTGAACGCAAGCTGCATGGGCACCGAGCTGGCGCGGACCTGGGCCGTCGACGTGATGCTAAACAGGTTCTGGCGGTCGAGCGCGCGGATGAAGTCGGCGCGCGTCATGATCTGCTGCGCAATGTGCAGCGGGAAGGTGGGTAGGACGTGGCCCGTCTCGGGATCGTAGGTGCTGTCCATGTCGGCCTCCTTGTCGACGAGGGCCGTGGCGAGGACCATGGCGGCGGCCTAGGAGGGCGAGAGGGGTCAGCATGGGGAGAGCGGATGATCGGAGAAAAGGAGGGGGCTTACCGCCCACTTTTGCTGGTCCATGACGTCGTCGTCCATTTCGCCGCCGAGGATCCAGCACTGGTTGAGGAACCACGTCTTTTCCATGCGGAGGATCTCATCGCAGGTTGCGAACATGTCTTTGCTCTTAGCGACGCGGTTCAGAAAGTTGAGCCGCCCGCCGACACGGTCGTAGACCTCCTCGAGCTTGGCCTCGTCGAGGTGGTCGCCAAAGTACTTTGTGCGGTAGTTTCGCAGGGCCTTCATGGCGTAGCTCTTGGGGAGGTCGGTCACGGAGAGCACCTCCATGCGGGTGGCGAGCTGCTTGAGACGCTCGTAGATCCAGTAGTCGTCGCTGTTGAAGACGATGGTGACCAGGTTGGCGGCGGCCCACTGCTCGGCCCGTTGCTGCAGCAGCTCGATCAAGTCCTTGCCGTCCTCGTCGTCGCGGATGAGGTGCATCTGGTTGATGATGAGGACAAGCGGCTTGCCGCATTTAGTGCGCCGCAGCAGGGCAACCTTTTCGAGCTTGTTCAAGGCGCGTTCAATATCGAGGAGAGCCGTGGTGTCGCGCGGCCCTCGCTCGCTGAAGTAGCCACCGATGTAGTCCTCGTGGAATTCGTAGTCCAGCGCCTTGCCCAGCCGGATGCGGAAGATCTCAAGGTCGGCATGGGCCTCGAGCATGGCGATGCCGTCGCCGTCAACCCGCTTGATGGCCTCGAGGAGCATGCTGCTCTTTCCGGTGCCCTTGTCGCCCAGGAACAGATGGTAGTGACCGCCCTGATCGCCGGCCACGATCTCGTCAACCGTCTGCTGCTCGGGACGTTGGACCCAGTAGTCGGCGGAGGCCGAGTTGGAGTGAGGGACGTTTCGGCCGATGGCGGCCAACTCCAAGACGGGATCACCGGGCTCAAAGGCGTTCATCATCTTCTTGAGGGCCATGTGTTTGTACCCCTTGTGGTAGACGTATGCAGTGAGGGCGAAGCCAGCGCCCAGGACGGCGATGGAGGCAAAGGAGGTGGCGGCCGACTCGGTCATCTTTCCCCAGAGGGAGGGCGCTTCATATTCGCCATCTCCGGGGGCTTCGCTCCTTGTTCGCCTGAAAGTTGGCCGGCCACCTTTTCATGTGTAAGCTTGGATACATTGAGGGACGCGAGTCTTGATGGCTCGAGAGGTGACGGTATTGAGGGCGAGGGCCACATGGAGGGAGGTGCATGCCGCGGTCGACGCAGGCGGGTCGGTCACCATGCGACGTGAGCTTGATCCACGTCCAAGGAGCCGGCGGACCTGGCCGCCTGGGACGGACCCGCGAACCGGCACGGTCTAGGACAAGGCCGCTCCAGGGATTGGGTAGCCATTGGCGGATGATTCGATGCTAGAGACCCCCCCCTAGTGCAAGTCGTACTTGGAGAGTTGATGAGGGACAGGAAACATCGATATCGGGCATTTGGTCGCAAGCAATGGGGTTGGCATGAGGAGAGCAGGTCAACATACCCGCTGGTGGTGAGGGCTTTTCCTCGTCTCGGAGGGCTCCCTGGCTGGAAAACGGCCGCAAGCCTAAAGGCTTCGGCAATTGGGGGCTCTGCGATGCCCTCATCCGGGAGTGACGTCGTACCAAAGAGCCCCTGACAACATAGGGGGCTGTCGCGGTCGCTACGCGACGGGCAGCCCCTTGCAGGCCCAGGTGGGAGAGGGTCATGGTATCTCGATCATTGAAAGGAGCACGACGACAGGGAGAATGAAGAATAACAGGAACTATGAGTGAGGACTCAATTGAACAGCAGGGAGAAAGGGAAAGCCAAAAGAATGGGCGCTGACTGGGGGCTTAAAGAGCGGAAGTCTGGACTTGCCAAGACGTGACGATGGGCATGGCGGTGTCGATGTTGGAACCTTTTTCTCCCGCTGCCCTTCCTTTTCAGCTTGCTCTGTCGTCGCGACTTGGGAAATGGAAAATGGGAGGCCATTGATTTTTTGGCCTTTGGCACTTGGTTGAATTGGTGACCCGTCTTGGCTTGGTGCTGTGGCCCGTGCAGGCTGGTGTGGAGAAGAGAATGGGGCCCGTGCCCCTAGCCCACCCCCATGCAGAGCCCCTGAGGTCAATGTTGACATTCACTTCCACTCTCGACACTGACGACGATGGAGATGGCGGATATCTCAACCACTTCACGTCGGAAGAAGAGAAAAGCAAGACCAGATACATTATCACGTATTTGCGTGCTACGGGCGCTATTTTTAAAAGTGCAGAGCTCCCTGCTGTGTCGGCCCCGTCCCTCAACGTGACCATCGCATGCCCCACGTCCAAGTCTCGAAAACCCCAGAAATCATCGCTAGCTCTGCCATCATGTCCCCGTTCTTGACACTCATGGCCAATCACCAATTGAGGAGGGGTGCTCAGACCTCGCCGGCAACCTCGCCCACCATCCCAAACCTTTACCTTGCCAGCGCCGGCCCTCCTTTTCTCCTCCTCTCTTCCTTTTTTTCTTCAGCAACAACGGACACCACCACCACAGCCCCCGTGATGCCGACCGCCATTGTCTGCTGCTTTGTAAGTATCATCCCCTTCATCGTCAGCTTCAAGATATCCTCCCCTGCCCAAGGCTTGATGCCCTCGTGATTGCGACTGCGAGTGCGACCGTGATGGCTTCTCGATAGCGACCGAGACCGCGATAGCCTCTCGTGAATCTTTCCGCCCACACCGCCCGAGCCTCCGACCGGAACCGCTACTCCGCACTTCATCCGTCCGATACTCCGCGGTTCTTCCCTTCGGCCCTCCTCTCTAACCTTCATCCACAGTCAATATACCGCTCGAGCTCCGTAAGTCCCCTCTGCCCTACGAGTACCCTCGGATGCTATTCTAGATAGCCTCTTTGTAGAATCTGGACGCCGTCCATTGACCTTCAACACCAACTGACTGTTCCTCTTCAGACCGAAAAAAAAAAAATCACCGCATCTCGTCGCTCTGCCGCCGCCGCCGCCTCCCTCCACCGCCGCCTCCCTCCACCGCCGCCACCTCCCTCCGCCGTGGTCGGCTCGTGGCCGTTGGCCGTACCGTCTCGTGAGTTTCCAGCGTCTCTGTCCTCTTCCCTCTAGGGCCCCAGCTGACATTTCGTCACCATCCAAAGTATCGGAAAGCTGCGTCTGGCGTTGTAAATTCTTGAGATAATCTGTCCACCAACAACCGGCTAACTAAATGTTCCACCAGCTCACAAGATCATTCTCCTCGGGTCGGCATCCGTAAGTTCTTATTCACCTCATCATGATTCTTCAAACCTAGCTGACAAGTGTGTGTCCAGATCATAACCACCACACCGCGCCCGCTGCTCGCCGCGCGTCGTCTGCTGTCCCGCGCCCGCCCTCACCGCGCTCGTCTTGTCTCGTGAGTCTTTCCGTCTTTCAACCTAGACAATCCCACGTGTTGCCGGAATCGTTCGTGTTGCCGGAGTCTTTCGTGTTGCCGGAGTCGATCAGTCAGTCGTCCTCTTGAGCTGCCTTTCTCTGTTCCCATCGGCCCAGTTTGCCATCCACCGGCACAGCCGCTTAGCTATCGCTCCCCTCACAACCCACCAACTCCTCTATCCCTTGCGCTGACCTTTGACTCTTCACGACCACGAGCTAACTCCCGCCCAGCAGAACCAAGATACCAAGTTTTCGTCGCGCTTCTCGTAAGTTCTCCGCTTTTCTATTTTCGTTTGCGTTCAGAACGTCGGCGCAAGGCGTCGGGGTACACCCTTGATCCTCACAAGGCGTTCCGTCGCATTTCACGGAGTTCTGTTGGGTGTCGGAGTTGACCGTCTCGTTGGATGTCAAAGTTGACTTTTCCCGTTGGCTGTCAAAGCTGACTTCGTCCGGTTTTGTTGTCGGGTCTGGCTTTGTCCCGTTGGCAACGGAGCTTAGAGAACTTGATGGCACATGCCGGTGAAGGGCAAATCCCATGCCCCAGCCACTAATCCTGATCGTCTGTCTTGTTTTTGTGACGTTTGCGATGGCAGCGTCTCATCCAGCTCAGGCACCCCATTGAGCCTGCGTCACTAAAGCTTCGTCCCCGGAGCCATGGTGGCATTGTCGGACGTCGTCGTCGTCATCGTCCGGGCTGTGGTCTCGACACTCCTGACTGGAAGATGCTGACCAA